ATAAACCCATCATACTTGTAGAGAAGGCCACAGTCCCAATGCAAGCCACATCCACTCAGATCCTCAGTGTCCCCTTCATTAAGCCCTCTATCTATTGGATACGGCTTCCAACAACAGCACCTCTTCACCTTGGCTGCTTCTGATTGGATCAAAGTCCTGACCTGCAGCTTGTGATGAGATCTGTTTAAATGGATTGACAAACTCTACTAAGACCCAATCAGGTCACTCAACAGGGATTTCCCCACATCTCAGACGTTGAATGATCATATGATGCAAATTACTGAGAGAAGCTGTAGAAAAATGAGTTAATTGTTTAGCCACGTACATCCATCTCGCTCCAAAGTAGACTCCCAAATGATGTGGTTCTTATGTCTCCACTTTAACTTTTGTATTTAGTATTTAATGTGTTGTATCCAATCCTATTAACTATGTTTGACCCTTCACCTCATATGTTTAATTTGAATACAAGATTATATAGTTTTGGTCAACTCGATCAGAAATGATCACAATTTACATGCATACATATGTTACCGGAACGAATTGGCAACGAGTACGGCAGCATATCAATGAATGCTGGTCAGCTTCACTCAAGAGCCTCAAGGATTATTTGGTCAGGACTTTCAGAAGAGCACTTTGGCAAATTGGTTACTGCTGCTGAACTGACCTGCTTTAGGACGTCAGGAGTGTGTGAGCCTTCCTGCAATCGGATCCTCCTCACACACACACACACACACACACACACACACACACACACACACACACACACACACACACACACACACACACACACACACACACACACACACACACACAGATTCTGACAGAATGTTTGTTATTCAAACTAAAACGTTTTTAATTAATAGGCCTCATCACAAACATTACAGTAAAAATTCCCTCCATGGGGCTTTTATTTTGATATTATTGGATTGGGTGGGGTGGGGGGTGTAGATAGAGAGAGGGAGGGTGAGAGGGTGAGGAAGGGTCATAGGAGAAGCTGTGAGTCACAGACAGAGATACTACAGCATGTGTGTGCGAGTAACCACGGCAACGGCGCACCTGGGCTCATTAACGAGCTGCTGCAAATGGCAGACACAGGACAGAGAGTTACACAGAATCCACACCTCAAACAAATGACCACCAGCGCAAAACTATAACAGCTATCTAAAAAATAAGACACTTGTGCAAGATCCAAGACTCTACCGAACGCATGGATGTGTTTTTATGTCTGTCCGGTAATAAATACGGCTCTTATCGCAGTTGACAAAACGTGTACCTTCTGGATTTTTGTGAGAAATATGTCGGCAGATTTGTATTGGAGCCTATGGGGCTTTTGGCAGAGGTTGTGTCACTCTAACACTCCTTAAACCAAAACTAAAGAACTCTGGGATTCCATGAACACATTAATCCAATCAGCACAACCATGCCCTTGATAATCTGAAGAAATGTAGCCTCTAGAGCAGGGGTCCCCAAACTTTTTCCAGTGAGGGCCACATAACTTTTCCCTTCTCTGATGGGGGGCCAGGGTTAGTTTCTAACAGAAAAAGTGTGACATTCGCAGGGGTCCCTAAATGTAATCATTTATTGTTTTCCAGAAAACATGCTGACACTCCAGCGCACCACACATATCCAAATATTAATAACCCTTTCTGAGATCAAATAACCCTCTCTGGGTTCTTCACAGAAAGAAAGTTATGCTGTGCCATGCACAATCCTAGATAAAAGGTAAACTTCACTTGTCACAGCAGAATCTCAAATGTCTCTCAAAGTTCTTGTGTTCTTTGTAGGTTCCATAGGCTAGCCCAGTAGACACCACTGTAGGCTCCCTCTCATCAACTTCCCTCTGAAAAGCACAAAGCAAGCAGGCTAAGAAACCAAACTAAGTGATACAGCACAATGCATTTCAATACCAGTATGGTTGTGGAGATGGATTTTTATCCCAATAGATTTTATTATGATTACATTTGTTGATACACAGAATGACTGATATAAGTCAGAAAAGTGAGCTTACCTATGTACTGTGTGTTCATCAGTGTGAACTGTGGGCCTGCATCTGGCTGGAGAGAAGTTGAATGTCCGGTTCCATTCTAGTCACAGCCAGTCTCAAACACTGATGCAAATGTTCATCTGTCAATCTTGATCTCGTTGGAGTTTTCAGGAGTTTCATGCGTGAAAAGGTTTGCTCGCAGATATACGTGCTGCCAAAAAGTTTGCGTTAACTCCACGAATAAAAATAAGAAGCTCCGCGGTGTCCTGCACGTCCGTGCTCTCATCCAGTGCTAATGAAAAAAACTGAAAATCTTTAGTTTTCTGCTGCAGCTGGGCATACACATTACCCCCAATTTCTTCAACACGTCGGGTAATTGTACTTGCCGACAGACTCACGGCATTAAAGACATCTTTCTTCTCGGGACAGACCTCCTCCACGACAACATTCAAACATTTCTTGACAAACTCTCCTTCAGTGAAAGATTTACGCAGCTTGCTATCAGCTGAGCAACACGGAAGCTGGCCCGAACTGATGCTTGGTTCAGCTGAGTTTGCCGTACAAATGTAGTCTGCTGAGCGAACAGTCCAGTTTTAGCTTAGACATTTTTTCTGCTCGCATTTGGCCGTGCAGGCTAGCATACTTGTCTTTGTGACGGGATTCATAATGTCGGCGCAGGTTGTATTCTTTGAATACCGCCACCGTCTCTTGACAGACAAGACAAACAGCCTTTTCTTTCAACTGAACAAAAAAGTAATCATGTGTCCACTGCGGGTTAAATACCCTGCATTCTGAATCAATTTTTCTCTTACCACACCGTTTTGCCATTATTGTGGAAGTTGCATTCCACTGAGAAAGTTGAGAACAAGCGTGTGTCTCGTTTATTTTTCACAACGGATGAAAAAACAAGATGGTGCAGCCTTGTAATCTCCCTATCAACGGGCTCTACGTCATCAACAACAACAGAACATTTAAAGGGACCGCAATCCGTCGAGCAGTCGTAATTACTTGTATGACACAACCATTTTACCATAACCATTAGCCTTTTTTCCGTCTCAGTATTGTTCAGGGGGCCGGGTCAAATGTGGAGCCGTATGCGGCCCGCGGGCCGTAGTTTGGGGACCCCTGCTCTAGAGGATATACTTTGGCTACAAGGACAGAAGTTCCATATTTTTTAAACCAGATTCTGACGCTTCCCGACACTCTAAGATCTCCGGGTCTCACTCTAGCAGACGCAATACACACTCATGTAAAACTCAGAAACGGAGCAAAGAACTAGTGAAACATAATCAGTGATTATGAAAAAAACTAGAATAGATATCAACAAGCAGTTTTTTCATGAAATAGTTGAGACTTGCGTCAACATTTGAAAGTTTAAATGGTGTCTGTAGCTGAAAGATTGGCGAAGCTGAAGAATCTGAAAGTTGAAGAAGTTTAAGAGGATTTGAAAAACGGTCTCCATTGGAAAACGATGTTAAAATATTAATGATTATTGATTTATATAAATTCAAGCTTAAGAGCTAGAAAGCTGAAAAGCCATACCCCCCCCTCTCCCGAAAGAGCTGAATATTTTAATATTTGAATGGTTTTAATAGCTGAAAGTGTGAAGGAGTTGAAAGGTGCGGCGTAAGAAATAGAATAATAAGTTGTTGGAATAAAGATTCGAAGAACAATAGTTAACAATGATCTCATGCAAGGAGCTCCTCTTTTCTCTATACGCTTTCTGTTGACAATTTTATTTGTTTGTTGACACTTATTTTACTTAACACACAACCACACAGGTATCTCTATGTGGTATTGCTGTGTGACGTCCTTCACTTTCCCATTCAATAACTTCTAAATATTACAGTGCATTTAAAGGTTGTAATGTATATACTCAGTGCCGGCGCTCCGCACACGCACATCATGCACTTCGCGTAGGGCACCAGGTGTCTGGGGGGGCATCAAAAAATCTGGGACGTGAAAAATCATCACAGTAGGCTACTAGTATAAATAACAAATAAAATATGTCTAAAGCATGTTAATATGCAAAAGAAATACAAAAGTAATAGGCCTAGACCAACTTAGTGGAGAAAAAGGGGAACCTCCTGTGCGGCCCCCCCTCCCCCCACCTCCCAGTGGTTTGTTCGATTATGCCTCAAATCTCAAATGTGGCAGACAGCTTAGAAATGGCTTCGAAAAGGCATCAAGAGTCGGGGGCGGAAAAAAGAAAAAAGAAGAGACAGCGGGATGATGCTTGCGCGTCGCTCTCAGGTAAGACAATGTTTTAAATCAAACTTTTTCTTGTGAGGACCGTTGCTAGCGGTCAACGGCCGGCCGGCTGGCCACATATACTCGCGCTCATAATGTCCGCACGGATCGTCGGTGGGCCGTATTCGGTACTCGTCCGCGGGCCGCCCGAAGTTTCTGTTACCGTTACCGTTTTTGTTATCATTTGTTTTGTTTGACCTGATAGCTGATTTTGCAGCTAGGAAATGCAGCCGTGTGCCTCTAGGGCCTTTGACAACTGATGGTAGTGAAAATGTTTGTAATATAGTTCTATCGGATAGCAGAATGGTCTCTTTTATAGAGATGGTAAAGTAAATTCTACTGTGCAGTTTGTACTTATGTATGGTTATTTGCACTTTAAAATGTGCACTTTATTATTATTATTTGTACTTATGTATATTATTTACTGAAGAAATGTGCACATTATTACTTACACGGTTATATACTTGAATACTTTCTGCGTTTATGTTCAGTTCCAAATCTGTGTTTTTAGTAATTGTGGTGGTATTTGGTATTTATAATTTTATCGTTTATATAATTTATTTCTTTTCATGTTTGTTTATGTACATTATTTATGTTTAGAAGTTATTTGGGGAATAAAGAGAACCGAACTAAGAAATTCTGAATGGTTGTTATTGCTTTGGTGGTGGTGGTGGTTGGTTGTTGGTTGGGGGGGGCACCACCAGGCATTTGTGCTTAGGGCACCCAAATGGCTAGCGCCGGCCCTGTATATACTCACTGTAAATGACCACTAGCAGTGTTCTTTTATTTTGATGATCCTGTTTCCTACTTAGATTTTATGTGACTTTTATTTTGACATCATACTATCTGCTCACGTGATTAATCGCTCACCCGCATGCTCACGCTCACATTTGTTCAATAGAAGACACGAGAAGCTAGCTAGCAATTTAATAAATTAAGATAATGGCGGCGGACTTCCCTGGATTACCACTTGATAGCACCCTTTGATATGCGGAGCGAGGTATGGTGTTCATTGTAATTGTATTTCATGTAAATTCATTTCATATAATGACTGTTGCCTGCTATGCTGTTATCCATGTATGCTAAAGTGCATTTGTCAAAGGATTATTTTGTATCTCGCTAAATTGCCTTTGTTATTTCCCTTTTTAGTTTTCACGGTGACGGTGTTGGTGTTGGTGCTATGCACACTCGTCTGAATTAAAGTACACCCGTCTGGAAACACTCCCAAGCCTGTTTATTCCAAGTTGAAGGGATGCTACAGTGAAAACTCGACCACGATGTGGAGTGAAAACTCAACTCAACGTTAGTATGATTGCCGTCCGCCATTTGTGTACCTGACTGCCACCTTCTGTTCAAACGCCCTCACTTCAACCGGCACCCAGGCAAGATCAGTCCTTTTTGTTTGCTGATTGCTGCATTCAATCACAGGGACTCTTTGATTACGAACAGTGATATTTATGTAAGGGACTGAAGTCACCTTTTATGAACAATTTACTGTATATTTGATGCTCTAAATTAATCATACATTTGAAAGGTGCATTTAAAGCTACAGAAAGGTGACTTTACAAAAAACTATTGAACAAATTGAACCTGTTAAATGTAAATTCATTCATGGGTAAATCTGTATGACAGCATACCTTGCTAAGCTGTTTGTGTGTTAACCTACATTTTTTGTTGATGATAATCGCCCCAGTGCATGCTTGATATTAAGTACTTGAGCTATTAGTCTATATTTCAGTAATTGAACTAGTTCAAGATAAACAAACAACAACACAACTTAAACAAAATGTCACTTAATGGAGAAGAAGTAGTTAGCACACATGATCCACCGATGAAAACGGATAACCCAAAGCCAGTCAGGTCTAGTTCACGTGAAAGAACATTTACAGAAAGGGGATTAGAGATGCACAAACAGGAAGCTATTAAACACAATAAAGAATTCATGAAAGCTTATGGCCGCTGGAAAGAATTTGCAGGAGAGATTAGGACTGCACTAAAATCATTCTCTTCTCAAGATGAACTAAATAACATCAGAGAAGATATCCAAAGTCGACACAGTGCAGTAAGTGAATGTTATGAGCCCATTCAACGCAACCATGATGCCACCCCAGACATTGTACCAAAAATGGATGCTTGTATAGCACTCACTGCAGAGAGCAGCGAAATAATAGAGAAGCGGCTTGAAACTGTAGATGAGGTCTTTAATCCAGAACTTGTGAAACTACGAGTGAGGATGGCACTTAGGAAGGATGAGTATGGATCTATCTTCGGACACACAAAGACAGATACTGTACTCTCTCTGGCAGACAATTCTATCCACTCATAGGGCTCAAGCAAACATCTAGATGCAGGAGCAGAACTCGCAGCGCAACAAGAAAAGGCTAAAGCAGTATATCAAATACAAGCTCAAGAAGTTCTTAGCAAGTTAGAAGAAGAGAAGCAGCTAGTTCTTAAAAGGTTAGAAGAAGAAAGGCAAGTTGCTCTTCAAAGGATATAGGCAAATATGCGTCAGGAAAAGAAAAGACTGCAGCAAATTCAAGCAGAGTCAGAAGTAAGAATAGCAGAGGCGAGAGTAAACGCATACGAGAGCTTTGAACATGACTTCAGAGACTGTCTAAAAGAGACCGATCTCACAGTTGAATCCAAAAGCCAGCTTAATCCAATGGCCAACGCATACCAGCCTCCCCAAGCGCACGCCAAAGCGCTAGCATCTCATGAGAAAGATAGCCTTACTCAAGCACTCATTAACTCACTCAATATGAATCGCCTGCCTGCTCCTGAGCCACCAAAGTTCTCTGGCGAAGCCCTAAAGTATGTAGACTGGAAGATGTCCTTCATGGCCCTCATAGACCACCAGCCTCTCCCCGCTCATGAAAAAAAGTTTTACTTAAAAAACTATCTGAGTGGAGAAGCACGTAAAGCTGTAGAGGGATTCTTCTATAGAAACTCAGAAGAAGCATATCATGGGGCCTTAAAGGTCCTGGAGGAAAGGTACGGAAACCACTTCATTGTGCAAAAGGCTTTTAGAGACAAGCTCATGAAGTGGCCCACGGTTGGTACCAGTGGTCCTGCTGCACTTCGAGAGTTTGCTGACTTCCTGCAAGGATGTGTTGAAGTGATGCCTCATGTGAAAGGATTGGCCATCTTGGACGACTGGGAAGAGAACCACAAACTGCTGAAGAAATGACCTGACTGGATCACACGAAGATGGAGCAGAGTCGTCACGGAAAGGTTGGACGAATCCGGGGATTACCCAAGCTTTTCCTGTTTCACAAGGTTCATCTAGAAGGAGGCTTGGATAGCATGTAACCCTGTCACCTCTCCACTTCTGATCAAGGCCACAGATGACAGGCAGCCCAAGAGAGCTAGAGCACTTCACACAAACACTAAAAGGAACAATCCCACAGAAAATGTTGAGAAAGTGTTCAGCACCAAGTCGAAGCCACCTTGTCCTATCTGCAAAGATGAGATGCACGGCGTCGTAAAGTGCCCTACATTTGCAGCAAAATCTCTGGAAGATAAGAAAGCCTTCATACGGGAAAACAATTTGTGCTACGGATGTTTGAGAAAGGGACATAACAGTAAGGATTGCAAAACGCAACACACTTGTGTCATATGCAGCAGAAGTCACCCCACCTGTCTACATGAAGAGAGATCTGTGGAAGCAAAAGAGAAACAGTCCACTTCCACAGATAAAGACGTTAGTCAGGAAGAGATCAAAGTGACGTCCCATCCAGTGACGCAGCGCGTCTTTGCCACATCAAGCATCGTCCCTGTTTTCATGTCATCTGCAAATGAACCACAGAAAGAAGTTATAACGTATGCTCTTCTAGACACGCAGAGTGATTCGACATTTGTCTTGGAAGACCTACTCGAAGAGCTGAACATGGAGACAAAACCAGTACAGCTTAAACTGAGCACCATGACAGCTGTTGACACACCCATAGCAAGCAAAAGTGTCTGCTGTCTACAAGTTCGAGGACTACAGTCTGGAAAACAGATTCAGCTGCGGCAGGCCTATACTTGTGGTTTCATCCCGGTCGACAAGTCCTACATTCCGACTTCTGAAACAGCGCTGCTCTGGCCTCATCTAAAGCATCTAGCAAACAAACTTCCACTGCTGAAGGACTGTGAGGTGGGACTGTTAATTGGAAATGATTGCCCGTTGGCGCTAGCCCCCCAGGAAGTCGTCATAGGAGGCGAAAATGATCCATTCGCCCAGAGAACGGAACTCGGCTGGAGCATTGTAGGCTCATCCAATCCACATCTGGATCGCCAGGGAAACCAGAGGTTTGTCCATCGAGTGACAGTGAAGGAAATACCAGCGGCATCAACCAATGACGTGCTGAAGGTCTTGGAATCAGACTTCAATGAAAGGAAGTATGCAGATAAAGACAAGTATGTGTCACAAGACGACGTTCGCTTCATTCAGCTCCTGAGTGACAACATAACTCAAAGGAAAGATGGACACTATGAAATGCCCCTTCCTTTCAAGAGCACAGAGCCACCTCTGCTACCAGACAACAAGAAGCTGGCAACAGTTCGACTGCAGCACCCAAAGAAAAGATTGAAAAATAATGAGCGGTATAAAGAACAGTACAAAGCCTTAATGAAGGATATGATAAAGAAAGGCGACGCAGAGCCATCCTCTCCTGCGACAGAACAGCAGACTACGTGCTACATAACACACCATGGGGTGTTCCACCCCAAGAAGCCAGAGAAGCTAAAGGTAGTCTTTGACTGTTCAGCGAAGTTCCGTGGTGTCTCACTAAAGGATACATTGCTAACAGGTCCTGACCTGGTCAACTCTCTCCTTGGAGTCCCTGTCGTTTCAGGAAAGAGGTGGTAGCCATCATATGCGACATCGAGAAAATGTTCCATCAGTTTTACGTTTCTCCTGAATTACGGAACTACGGAACTCAAGATTATCAAATGGCTGTCCACCTATTCGGTGCCGCTTTGTCACCCGGATGTGACAACTTTGGCCTGAAGTACTTGGCACGTCAACACAAGGAAGAGTATCCATCAGCATCAGCCTTTGTTGAAAAGAACTTCTACGTCGATGATGGGCTTATCAGCGTCCCCTCCGTAGAAGAAGCAAAGGAGTTGATTGCTGAAGCACAAGAGTTGTGCAAGGGAGGAGGTTTGCGTCTACACAAGTTCAACTCAAACGAAAGATCCGTCCTGGACTCTGTGGATCCAACTGAGAGAGCAGTCACATCTGAACCCCTAAATCTGGACCTAAATGCAGCTCCAGCAGAACGTGCTCTTGGTGTCCAGTGGTCCCTTGAACACGACACCTTCAGCTTTAATGTAAACCCACAACCCAGGCCATCCACACGTCGCGGAATCCTATCCGTCATTGCTTCTTTGTACGATCCAGTCAGATTCGTGGCTCCGTTTATCTTAACTGGAAAGTGCATCCTCCAGGAGCTGTGTCGTCGAGGCATTAACTGGGATGACCCACTTCCCGAAGACTTAAGTCCACGGTGGGAGAGTTGGAAGAGCGACCTACAAAGGCTGAAGGAAGTCTCAATACCGAGATGCTACCAACCACAAGGCTTCTGCAAAACTGTCACAAGGGAACTGCACCACTTCTCCGATGCCAGCAATATAGGATATGGCTCGTGTTCCTATCTGAGAAGCAAAAATGAAGATGGTCAAGTTCACTGCAGCCTCGTGATGGAAAAGGCAAGAGTTGCGCCTACAAAACTCACAAGCATTCCAAGATTGGAACTTTCAGCAGCAGTGGTCGCTGCAATATCAAGTGTCATGCTGAGAAACGAGCTTGAAATGCCGATCCATGCAGAATTATTCTGGACTGACTCCCAAACTGTCCTGGTTTATATTGGTAATGAAGCAAGAAGGTTCCATGTCTTCGTTGCCAATCGTGTGCAAATGATCAGAGAGCACACCAGCCCCAGCCAATGGCACTACATAGACACAACAGAAAACCCTGCTGACCATGCGTCGAGAGGTCTAAACGCAGTGGACATCTCCTCAACAAACTGGCTATCAGGACCCAAGTTCCTGTGGGAACAAGAAATACATCCAGTCTCCAGCGAGTCTCGCCTCACTCCTGAGTTGCTTGTCGGTGATCCTGAGGTCAGGTCAATGCAGGCGTTCACAACTAAGGTTGAACCTTCCGAGTCAGACTTTCTTACCCGTCTAAATCGATTATCCTCCTGGTCAGAACTCCTGAAAGTCATTGCAAGAATCAAGAGGCTGAACTCAAGGCAAAATCATCCTGGCAAACCTGTGAGTGTAGAAGAACGCGAAACAGCTGCCAAATCAGTAGTGAAGCTTGTTCAAGAAGAAGCATTCTCCCAAGAGATGGAGATACTTCAAAAGGGAAAACGTCTTCAAAACTCCAGCCCTCTGTTTCGCTTGAATCCCATCTTAGAAGGAGGAGCACTTCGTGTTGGTGGAAGACTGGATCAGTCATCCTTAAGACTAGAAGTCAAACACCCTTTGATTCTACCCAAAGGAGGACATATTAACAAGTTGATTTTGACCCACTGCCACGAGAGGATCTGTCACCAAGGACGTAATCAAACTAACAGAACTTCGAGCCAATGGGTTTTGGGTCATTGGGGGAAGTAATTCAGTTGCTAAGCTGATACACAGATGTGTGAAGTGCAGAAGACTCAGACGGCCTGTAGAAGAACAACGCATGGCAGAGCTTCCTAAGGAACGTGTGGAAGTCTCTGCTCCCTTCACATACTGTGGCATCGATTGCTTCGGCCCATTCATCACTAAGAAAGCCTGCAAAGAGCAAAGCACTATAGCTTAATCTTCACTTGCCTTGCCTCTTGATCTGTTCACATTGAGATGCTTGAGGACTTATCCACAGCATTTAGCAACGCCTTAAGATGCTTCATCAGTCTCAGAGGAGCCGTTCGTCAAATCCATTGCGATCAAGGAACCAATTTTGTGGGAGCTAGAAATGAGTTCAAAGAGGCACTGAAACAATGTGACACCAAAACACGAGTGGTTGAAACCACAAAGGGGAGCGATGGTCTAGTGTGTCGCGTCAAGGTGTTAGTAGGAGAAAGAACATCAGCAAAACAAGATCTCCCTACCAAACCTTTGATCATAGAAAGGCCCATCCAGAAACTAGTTCTCCTCCCCGAGAGTGAGTAATCAGTCTAGTTGTCTACACCTTTTATTCCCTTATGACATAGTCTATTCTCTCTTAGATATTAAGTACTACTCACCTACACAAATCTAGAAACACTGATACAGACAGGACTCAAGTATGATGCGTTCAGCCAGGTTGACCCTTGTCTTCACTCTTCACAACATGATTGGTGGGAGTGTAAATGACCACTAGCAGTGTTCTTTCATTTTGATGATCCTGTTTCCTACTTAGATTTATGTGACTTTTATTTAGACATCATACTATCTGCTCACGTGATTAATCGCTCGCGCTCATGCTCACGCTCACATTTGTTCAATAGAAGACACAAGAAACTAGCTAGCAATTTAATAAATTAAGCTAATGGCGGCGGACTTCCCTGGATTACCACTTTATAGCACCCTTTGATATGCGGAGCGAGGTATGTGATTCATTGTAATTGTATTTCATTGTATTTCATGTAAATTAATCTCATATAATGACTGTTGCCTGCTATGCTGTTATGCATGTATGCTGAGCCCCACCCTCCCCCATCACCCTGTGTGACTCCCCCGTCACTATTGTGGATTCCTTCCGTTTCCTGGGCTCCATCATCACCCAGGACCTCAAGTGGGAGCTGAACATCAGCTCCATCACAAAGAAGGCTCAGCAGAGGTTGTTCTTCCTGAGGCAGCTGAAGAAATTCAACCTGCCAAAGACGATGATGGTCCACTTCTACACGGCCATCATCGAGTCCACCATCCTCTGCTCCTCCATCACCGTCTGGTACGCTGCAGCCACAGCCAAGGACAAGGGCAGGCTTCAGCGGGTCATCCGCTCTGCAGAGAGGGTGATTGGCTGCATTCTGCCGTCCCTGCAGGACTTTTTCGCTTCCAGGTCTCTGAAGCGAGCTAAAAAGAAGGCCGACCCCTCCCACCCCGGACAAAAACTGTTTGTGCCCCTTCCATCTGGGAGGAGGCTAAGGTCCATCAGGACTAAGACCTCCCGCCACACGAACAGTTTCTTCCCGTCGGCAGTCGGGCTCATCAACAGAGCCCGGTCCCCCACTGACTGACTATAACATTCCACCGGTCAGTCCCCTTCATCCTGCACATGCCACTTTAACTGCAATTCATCACTTTGTCGTCACTTGTCACTTTGTCTCTTGTCTGTTACTTGTTCGTTAGTGCACTTTTTTGCAATTTTTTTAAACTTTATTCCCTTGTTTTATACTAACCCATAGCCATAGCCTTATTCTACTAACCCATTGCATTAGCATTTCATTCCACTTTATTTTATTACTTGTGCACTGTTGTCTTGTCTGTCTACTGTCGCGCACTAACCGCCAAGACAAATTCCTTGTATGTTTGACATATTTTGGCTAATAAATGTTTCCTGATTCCTGATTTGTCAAAGGATTATTTTGTATCTGGCAAAATTGCCTTTGTTATTTCCCTTTTAGTTTTGTTGGTGCTTGTAAGCTATACTATTTGCTACAGTACTACTGGAAAAGCATACATGTAATTGGTAGGTGTGTTTAAGGTCAGTAAATAGTAAGCAACTCACCAAAACAAAGTGGAGGGGAAGTCACTGTCACAGAGAAATTACACTATTCCTTTAGATGTGAATTTAAATGATCAATGTAGTCCTCAAAACTATGTTTTAAATGTGCGAATTTTCATATATAAATATAGAATTGTGGGCCATGCACTTAACAAAAAAAATAATATGGGGAATGCTATTCATTTGGACCCCCCCAATGTCTAAACCATGGTTACGACATTGAATTGCCGCGTTCTCTCCAAGCGCATTGGAAGCGTGACTTATTTTTGCAGGTTAATTGGTGAAAACTCCTGTTTATAATGGTTTCCTTCGATACCAACTTCGTGAACTTGTGTGTTTCTAGGAGAAGGAGGGTCGAGGTCTGGACCTGAGTCAAGGACTGGTGGTGATGTCACTGATCCACTCTGGTTCTAAACACAGCGGCCTCGCTGAGCCGCTGCTCCCGGACATTTAAATTGCCTCCTTCTCTTTGTGTTTAGTAACACGTTGTTCCTCCGTGAAGTTATGGTTAGCTGGTCGTCACGGTTTCGGTAGTTTTGTGCTCTATTGGTGAGCGGATACGTTCCACATAACTAAAAATCCCGAGAGTTCCTCTGTGTTTTATGTGTTAACTGGGATGGCGTCTGTGTGAAGAGTGAATGTTTTGGCTGCCCTGGACACGACTACTTGAACATTTTTTAAACTGGAATTTGCAGGTGACAGGTGACATTCTTAGATTACAAACCATATTATTTACATTTGCGTTTTAATAAGGGTTATTATTATTAGATCCTCCCACCTCGTTGGGGAGAAGAAACCCAGTTCTGGGACTTTATTGTTTGTAGTTATGTTTATCCTACTGGTTAACGCATCTCCTTGTAAGCAGGGGAAACCATTTCATATGATTGAACGCTTCAATCTGCTCCCTTTTCCTGGTATTTGTTTGTCATAAGAAAATAATATGGCAAAACTGATCTGTTTTAAAGTATTTGTTCAGTTTGAAAACTCATTGAATAGAGTTTTGTGCCTGTGAAAGCGAAAGTGATTTTGAATGTATTAAGGGATTGCGTGATGTGTGCCTGCAGTTTAAAATAAAAAGTATAGTTTTCTGTATAATGGTAAGAATTTTCTACTTGTTTTAACATGACAGCAGTAATTGTAAACACACACTCTTGTCACTGTTGAAATACAAATACATTTGTTAGTAGATATTTTAAATAAATAGGCATGAGCCTCACATTGATATTACGGAGTGCTTTATTTAAACAAGTGCAGACTTGAGCTCCAACAGTGAACACATGATTTTACAAGGTTTCATCCAAGTGTTGGTACAAAAAGACACATTTCATAAAGGCACATGAACAAAAGTACTTTTTGTGTAACATATAAAATCAAGGAAAGACGAATGTCCTGTGTCTTTCTATCTGTGATCAGTACTTTGTCTTAGTCCATCTATTCTACATACCGTCTGCACAGCCTCGATAGGACATCAAAGCAACTTCCCAAAATGAACATCACAGAACGCCCAGGTGGGAGTCGAGCATTTTATGACATTGTGGTACTCAGCCGGCCAAACCACTGCAACAACGGCCGCTGAAATGCTAAACCAGCAGCTCCAATGATTACAGATCTTCATGTTTCTCCTTGATAAATCTCACAAACGTGAGGAAATGTTTACAACCAAAGTTTGGACAGGCTGTCAAATTCTTCTAACCAGGGTGTTTAATAAGTTTTACACTGCTTATCCTTCCACCGATGACTGACCTAGGACACGCTTGAAGCTTTTTTAGGTCATCATAACGGACGCCATTGTATAAAATATGTTGTACAGTGTATTTTACATGTGTTAAAATGTATCATTCAGAGTTTGAACAAACAGCTGAATGTACTCTGCAATCCACGCTTCTATATTCTTTGGAACCTTAAAGGGGTAGTTGCACATTCATAAGGATGTCTAAGGTTTAATGCTATTGTTATACTGGGGTTGAGAAAAGGTCACAACTCGGGTTACCACAGTCAGCAGTAATACAAATCAATGCGGGAATATCCAAATTAAACTACAGCATCTTGAGGGAAGGAAAATGGGAGGAGATCAGCGGCCCAAGTGCGAGTCCTAGGTCGGCACTGTGGTGTTGGCAGCGTTCCCTCCGTCTCCCTTCCAGTCCAGATAGGAGAAGAAAGCACTTGCACCGTAGGCGATGGTCACCACAGCACCAAAGAACTGAACACATGGGAAAAGAGCCAGACAAAGACAAGGGAGACATTCAGGGAAATTTGAATGGGGAGAAGACATTCAATTATACCTTTTAAAAGACTTAAGGAAGCGGTCTCTCAAATCTTCAACAGCCGAAGATTTAGGAAAGCGAACTAAGTTTTCTTATCTGCAAACATGCCTGGTACTACTGCCTACTGCCGTGGCTGTAAACCAGCATGGACTTTGGGAAATACTATAGAGCAGCTTGTCCTTCCTCTGCGTTGGCTTTCTGTTCTGTTTTTTTGTTAGTTGGTGACAAGTCAGCACCACTATACTGAATTGACCTCACGTGGTCGTCTTCGTTCTGTTTTGTTTTTGTGCCGGTATACTGGACAACAAGGCAAAATGAGGATCCCCTGAAGGAGCTGGCTGTCACTGTGTTGTTTGACAAAGCCACTAAAATCATAAGTGCACTAATTCATTTAACTGGGTCGAAACCGACCCTAAAAACACAAAGGTCATCGTTTGAACCAGCGCATTTTATAATTTTTGTTTTTGTTTTGTCAAAATATAGATTCCTGACAAAGTAAAAAAGCATTGATTCAATAAACAGAATGGTTCTTTTACACATTTAAACCTAAAAGGGGGTCGGTGCAGAACGTAACACAAGATGAAGGATATCCAAACTCTTCCTGACACGGGTAATCACGCACACGCACACACACACACATACACCTCCATATGATGATTAAACATTGACTGCAGAGGGGAGGAGCCAGCGGCAGCTCTGGTACAAAGGTTTGGCCGTAAAAGCGTGTTTAATCACGCAACATGCTGCAGTCTCGTGAGCAATAAGAAAGCCCCCGTCCCATCTTGGAGGCGTGTCCCTTGCATATTCAATCAGG